TTCAAAAAGAAACTTCATCCTGATTTATTATTTTTTTAATCAATCTTCGCATTCTAGTACGAAGAACATTAATCAGAATCAAAACAGAAGAATATAAGAAACTCAAAAATAAAACCAATAAATACCACTGGGAAACTGTAAAAAGACAAACTTTTCATAAACAGGGAAAAAATCCAAGAAATTAAAAATCGTCACAAAGCTTACCATGTTTAATAACAGGTAATCGCACCACGTGCTCAGTTCTTAGTTAACCTATTAACACAGGAAAAAAGAAGAAGCGTAATGTTCGGGAATGATGACGGGGCTCAGATCTGTGATTCCACAAAAGATATAAAATTTGAAGCCAAAAGCAAGTACTTAAAAATGTAGAGCCATAATCTCCGATCCTTTTGGAGATAATAACATAGGAGAGAAATACCTCGACAATCGAATTGCAGTATATAAGGTTCTGATGATCAAATGGAACTCTTTATGCGAGGAAGATGCGCCAGTGCTTGTTGAGCACGCTATGTTGTTCACCCATCTCCTGGAAATAGATCTTGGTCCATAGCAGGAGAACCGCCGGCCCGAAAAACTAATCCAAAGTATCCTTGGGCTTAAAATCAGCGAGGCCCAGCCTTATCTCTAGGGACCAATGCAAAGAGGTCCTAAGCTTGCTTGAATTGGGAGTTATTATTCAAGAATTTTATGACCCTCTAATGGTAGATTGCTACTATCTTGCCTTCATCTAGTCAAACGGAAAAGCCACCCAAGTAACGAATTACACAGAGGACACTCGAGCTCGAATCACTATTACTGAATCCAAAAAAGGAATAAGGTAAGGATAGTAAGGTTTAAGTTAGCAAACGATCAAAGCGAGAAATGAGTTGACATTTGTAAATAAGCATTAATATGTCTTCTCGAGCCTTCATTATACTTGCTTATTTAATTGCAATTGAAATGCCTTCAGAGTAATGAATTATAAAGAATCTCTCTAAAGGTTCCCATAGCTTAACCCGCTTATCTTGAATCCAATGAAGGAACGGAGCAAGGGTCGTACGGTATAACCTAGTAAGTAAAAAAAATACTCATCTAGTACCACCGATGCTACCATATTAGTCTATGTGGTGCTAAATGATATGCTCAAAATGAGGTAAATTAAGTTATTTATTTAATTAAACCTCTAATTTTTTTTTAAAATTTATTATTATTATTATTTTATTTATTATTATTTTATTTATTTAAGATTTCACCTTAGCAAGGCATTATTTTGCAGGCAGATTGCTCTTTGGTCTTTTAACTTATTGCTAAGAGTAACAAGTTGATTTTCAATGTTTAAAAGCTTCAATGGTCCTCAATTATTTATTTATATATTTATTATTATTATTATTATTATTTTATAGTTGTAACTTGCAAGATCAAGTCTCCAAAGATCAAATCGTTTAAATATTTGCTAAACATAACATGGTTGCATGTCCATATTTATAAATTGAGATTTTGCTTTCAAACTTAGACCAGTGTCTAAAAATTGGAATCGATAGTTATTATCGTGAAGGTCATGCAACAGTTTCATACAGACTTGGATACATTATGACTAATCATGAAATTATTTACATCTCAACTTTGTAATGATCCAACGGCTTTATAGCATTTTCTTATGTTGCAAAGAACTTGATCGGCAAAATCGTGAGTGCATGATAACACTACAAGTAGTAAAAGAGGATTGTGAGTCCAATATGCTCCCGAGGCATAGCTCAGTGGTGCAAAGGATAATAGTGAAATTATCTCACGCCTTACTGTCAGCCGCAGTGTGGGGTTTCGATTCCTGAGACATGAAATTGGACTCCTTATAGGCGCAGAATACAAACAGCTCTTGTTCTCTGGCCTGATGGGGCACATTGCGCTATTTATCTCCTTCACAAAAGCTCTAGGGGCAAGGCGGTAAGGACCCTCAAGATTGGAGTTCAACCTTTGGATTGTGAGTCCAATATTGATCCCAAGAAGACTGTACCACCAATTATTAAAATCGATAATCCTAACTTTATGTGAATGATCGATTTAAATGTGATTTTTTTTTCACTAAAACTACTCAAAACCAATAAAAGTAAGTATTGGTTGAATTCTATGAACTTTAAGTGTTATGATTAGTGTGAGATCACTAACGGGGAGGGTCACATGACAATTTAATAGAGAGTTGAGCGCATTCCGATAAAATGTGAAATTATAATAAAAAAATATTAGAGACCAACATTTTGTAACAATCCAACGGGGATAGCTTACGCATCCAAACAGGATCATTGTCTCATCAGCCTCATCTATTTCCTCATTCTTTGCTAATTTATTTTGTGTGGTCCTCAATTGAAACCTTTTTTTTTTTTTTTTTTCATCCCTGGTAGTGATCCAATTGTTCATGCTATTAGTATGATGTAAAAGCCCTTTTTAATTTTAATTTTAATTTTTTTTTAAGCAGAAGCCACTTAAAAATTTGCAAGCAATTATAACGAGTTTATTTGGCAAATAATTTCTATCTTACTAGTATTGGGATTCACAAAGTGTGTGGTTTAAAGATAAATCAAATAAGTATCACCATTCTTTTTTGCTTCTTTACTTATTTAGCTTATTAGGTATAGGGCCCACAAATTTCCTTATCTTTGTAGTTTGTACATACATTTTTGTGGGTCCTAGCGCTTATAAGATACAATCATGCTGCAGGAACGGACAACTTGACATAATGGTTGACATCTTTACAGCCATAAATGCTTAATACCTTTTGTTTTGCTTATTATAGTGCTTTTCTTTTCTTTGTTTATTTTCCTGAAATTTTTATATCATTGTAGCATAAGATTAATACATGATTGGAATTTCTCTCTCATAAAATAACGACTAAGTTCGTCAAAAGAGGTTAATAATCAAACATGTTATAGTTCAACATGTTGAGCTTTTTGCAAAATCGTTTATTATAAACTCACTATAGAGATTCGTATTACTTGGTACGATCAAAATATGTCCGGATATTAAAAATGGGTCAAAATAAGTTGGATCTTTCTTTTAATGAAAAATTCAATTAAATCGTTAATGCCTTAAAAATGCTTGAATTTGGGATTTTATTGCGTGTAAGAAAAGTAAAATGCTTATCCCTTGATTAAGCACCATTTTTTTTAGGGGGAATGAATTTTAAAATAGTGATTTTTATTTTTATTTCTTTATTATTATTTTTTTAGATTGTGTGGTTAGGGGTGGGCGCGGGTCGATTCGGTTCGGTTCTAAAGAGAACCGAACCGAACCAAACTTTTCGGGTATCTAATAAATGGAACCGTCAGGTCCAAATATAATTTTGGAACCGTTCGGGTTCGGTTCGGTTCCATTCGGTTCGTACTATAATTAAATTTTTTAACATTTATAACAACATTATATAAATTCAACTAATGATACATTCAATGGTTTTGAAATGTCAGAGACTAGTAAACTACCTTATTGAAATGATTGCTACGATCAAAGTTTCGGTCGGCGGAGGTCACAGTGTCGCTCAACGATTGTATATGTTTTGGAATATTAGCGAGGCAACGAGAGTGAGTGCGAGAGTCGAGACAACGTTATACACTTTAGTGTAGGTGTTCAGGGTTATTTAGTGGATTTGATCTTGTTTGGCTAAGAAATGAAACAATAAAATGGGTAATTGGGTCAAAAATTAAAAAATTAGAAATGAAACAAATTATTGAGCCAAAAATTTGGATTTAGAAATTGTTAATTTGTTAATTTGTCTAGAAAAAATTTAAATTAAAATAATTTGATTTACTCAATATAAAAAAAATTAGAAAGATTCGGTTCTTCGATTTTTGGTCTAGAACCGAGAACCGAACCGTACCCATCGGTTCTCAATTCAGATACCCGTTCGGGTATTTAATTTGACAAGAACCGTCTAGTTCAGTTCGATCGGTTCGGTTCGGGAGATTTGCCCAGCCCTATGTGTGGTTAAGAAAATAAGGAAGACTTTTGGATTTAGGTATAGAATTATTTTATTGAAAAATTTGTGATTAAAAATGAGTTATGAAAAAAATGTATTTTTCAAAAAATGGAGCCTAAATAGGGGATAATATTTCCCTAAAAAGTGACTCTTTGCTAGAATTAGGATATATACCACCGTCACATATAGTATGGTAGTTGATTGCTTTAAGACGAATAGATGTCACAACTCCTCATCCATAAGCAAGCAACTTGCATAGTCATGTACAACTTTTTGAGTATACCAAGCTCCTAACCAGCATCAAACAGATCTTCCTCAAAGAATCAGAGCAAATTCGAGATCTAATAAATCAAGTTCCGCGGGATTGGAATTTTCCTATTATATACTCGTTCCTAAACTTCTTAGAAGAGTTGAAGTCTTTGAAAGTCACTTTATATTCTAGGACTTATTGCCCTCTTAGATTCTATCACGAGTCCATGAACAACATGAGCATTCCTTTGTCTCTCAGCTCCATTGTGACACTCTTAACATATATACATAGTTGTCACAAGGACCAAGCCCAACCCGCCCTATAACCTTATACAGCACCGGTTGCAAGTCCACTAAGGCCCAAATGTTAGACCCATCATTTCTGATGCTATGTCGAATAGAATTTGTCATCCTCAAAAAGCCTTTTTACATTTAATTTTTGAGGAAATTATGTGATACTTGATTTTATCATGAAATTACAACATAATTGTTCATTGTTTTATATTTTATAGTGTCTTTAATTCTCAATCACTTATTTTCAAAATTACTACTGTTCCAGATACCCAAATAACCATACTCCAAAATGCTGTTCTGCCCATCACCTCCTCTCCCTTCTCACACAAGGTGAAAAGATCTTACCGTATTGGTTCCTGTAATGAATTTACCCTACTTGCTTTAGGAGGAGGAAATTGAAGGAGTCAGTAAAAATAGTAAACATCGTGAAGTAAAGAACAATAAGACGTATTTATGTTTCAAACGAAATGAAAAAACTATCCAAGACTGAATGATGCAAATATAACACAGTACATAGAAGCACGATATCTCTACTTATCTAATATATAAAGCATGGCATAGGCACTAGTTTCAAATAAATTTATTTCTACAGTGTTCATAACTACCAAAAACAAAAAAAACAAAAAAAAACAGAAAACAAATTTACTTAATCCAAAAGCAAAAGCCATATAAGCTCTTATTCAGCAGGGGTAGATAAAAGCACTTCTAATAATTCTACAAACATCACGAAGCTACCGTGGAATGAATGCAATGGTAACATTGATAACATTCACGGTGATAAATAGGGAGGGTACGAAAGAGTTTACAAAGCCTGCCAAGAATCAAGTTTCTCCATTACATTAAACATTGCAGTTGAACTTGATAAAAGCCAGTTTCTCAGTCAGCTCTAGATTGGCCAGCCCTTGAAGACAAAATAATTCCAACAATTAGACCATAAAGGGCTAAAGCTTCAGCGAAGATGAGAATGAGGATCATCCCAACGAAAAGCTTCGGCTGCTGTGCATTAGCCCTGCAAAAGTACTGATTCTGAGTATAAAGCACAGTGCATATATCAAGTATAAATAGAAGATGTCTCTGCCACGTGGAGAATGAGCTACATAATTTTCTTATATACTTCGGAGCACTGGATGCATCCATGACTTATAATGTAATATAAAACTCCAGAACATCATTGTCACAATACCAAGAATCTGATTCACCAACAATTTTCAAAGGCACAAGTGGTTTGGATCGGTTGCGATTCCAACCCGAAAACAAAACCAAATTAATCGGTTCGATTCAGTTAGTCTGTTTAGACTTTTAGTCCAAATTGAATTTTGAGCCCACCTAGATTACAAGAACTATAAATAACTAAATAACTTTATATTATAAGAACCATTGACTAACAAATAAAATTAGGTTAATAGAGACAGATCGACAAAAAATTTGAGAAATTTTTTTTTCAACCTAACTGTCTGAGTAGAAAAATAGGCTAACTAGCTATGTATAATATAATGAGCTCGTGAAAAGAAATTCCCACTACTATTATTTCTTTGCAACATCATAAATTGGAGGGAATTGAGATATAATTATGAAATTAGGGCTTATTTTTTTACTTTTATTTTTCTTAAAAAAAAAAATGTAAGAGGATTAGAACGGCTTGATTAACCAGCAATTTGAGGTATCAAACCATGACTAAACCGACTCACCATGGTTTTATTTTAAAAAAGCCAAACCAAACCAATTACATGTGTCAAACTCACCCGAGTAGATTTGGTTTGGTTGGTTTTCCAATTTTTTTGCGCAGACCTAGGCACAATCAGGAGAACAATAATCATCATTATTAACACTTTATCAACACACTACCAATCCCTTGAATACTTGATATCTTTGAGAGAATGAAAATTTATTAGCTAGTAAGCGACTTAATCATGGTAAAATAGAATGAACACGAAAAGCTACACAGAAATCAACATTGCCTGAGGTGGGTGCAAAAGATTGACAAACAGCAGCTTTGAATCAAAAGGAGTGCCGAAAAGAATTCCTATAGCTAATTTCAAATTCATTAAGAATAAAGCTCAATAATTATTGTTAATTATAGAGATATTGATCATAACCTTCCATGCTGTTCTTGACAACTATTGCTACTGTTCTTGTAGTTATATGTTTACCATTTAAAAGGAGATGAAAGATTATACATATCTTAAATCTTTATTTTGGAACATGAAAATTTCAACTCATTTTTACCTATGATTTTTAGTCTTCATTTCAAAGCAAGAACTATGAAACAAACAAAATTACATCCAAAAATGAATAAATATAACTTATAAAGTGAGACATGGAAAACTTCTAATAGTTTTCGAATCAATGATCACTAAGCTTAACTGTGACAAAAATGGCCAAGTAACTTGACGACGAACATCTCATATAAAATCATGTCAATGTTTAAAAAGGCCTAATCAGATACTAGTAGCATTCAGTAACATTTCTGACTCACATTGCACATATCAGTAAATAATATTGTAACAAATAAGCGAATCAGCTAAGTTCAACAATTCAATTGTAGTCAAGGGCAGACGCGGACATTTTGAGTTGGGGGACACGATCCAACTTGCAAAAAAGTTGTGATGAATTTTTCATTAAAAAATTTACATCAGAAAAAAAAAATAAAAATTTCATCCATGTAAATTTACATCCAACAATTCACACATGGGTATGACATTTTCAGACGTAAAATTTTGAAAATTTTTGATGTCATATCTCATGTAAATTTTTCTAATAAAATGATATCAATTATATTAAAAATTTGTATCGCAAAAATAATAATAATTGAAAATTTGTAAAGAAAATACGAATTATGCGCCTCTTTTTTAGAGGCATGTTTGACGCATCTTTAACTATTTCGATATCTGTTTGGACCATTTGATTGCCTATAATGTAGTTCTCGAAATGAACTTCGAGATGACATAGGCGATTTGTGGATTTAGCTAGTGTATGAGAGTCTGAGAATTTTTAAAGTTAGTATATTATTGAAACTTTTGAAATATTAGTTTAGAATGACCTACTTTGATAAGCCGTAACATTTACTACGGTTGGTTGTTTCGCACACCATTAACAATGTAGAAAACTAGGCTATAAGTACTTCGAAATAACATTAAGAATGCAATATTTCGACTTTATTTGATATCTCATAATGACTTCGAAAATTGAGAGAAAACATAGGGGGGAAAAAGGCCCCAGAATTAGGGGGTCACATGACACCCATGCTCACCCTTGTGTCCGCCCATGGTTGCAGACCACGATGTCGAGCTTCACTACTACTGTTTTACATTACCCATATTATACATATGCCAGTAAACTTGTCCAGTTACCACTAAGATCCAACATGTCCCTAAATTTAGTCATCATCATCCACATATAAATCCCTAAACGGTTCAAAAGTGTCACATGGAAAACTACATTGACCAAAAGATTCAGCATAATTATCTTACTCAAACAAAATTTTCACTAATTCAGAGCATCCAGATCATAGAAATAAAGAATAACAATAAAAATTCAATTATTCGCCATAGGTAATAAGATCCATCAATAGTTCAATTATACCTGACACCAGCATCTCCAACAATCCCAATTGCCATTCCAGCTGAGAGGCCAGCAAGGCCACAAGCGAGGCCCGAGGAAAGATGCGCATAGCCATCGAAAAGATAATAACCCTTTGCCTTAGGGTTAATCCCAGTGCTGATAATCACAGCAATAATCAACCCGTAAATACCCAACACTCCAGCCATAACCACTGGCACGATCGACTTCATCACCAACTCCGGCCTCATCACTCCCATCGAAGCCACACCTACTCCACTCTTCGCTGTTCCATACGCCGCACCCATACCTGTAAAAATGATTCACAACAAACATATTAATCAAGAAAATCCTGACAATCAAACCAATATAACAAAACTCAGATCTTTGTATTACAGGAGAAGACGAGGGCAGAAGCGGCGCCGAGGAAGCCGAAAAAGGGAGCAGTTTCATCGCCGTTGAATATAGAAGACATTTTTGTTTGGATTGCAAAAAAATAAATTACTAACGGATCTGGAAATTTATGTTGATCGAACAGTTATTGTTACAGAGAGAGATGATTTGGTGGTTTCCGATTAACAGATCTAGTTCTCTCTCAGCTGATTCTTGTGATGTATCATTTGTATGTATGGTGCAGAAGAGGGCGAGCTAATCATCGATTGGGTGCCAATCATCACACGTGGCGTGTTCGATTTTGGGTCCGGAATTGGGTTGGACTTTGGACTTGTTTTAAACGTGGGTCGGATCTAGCCCAGTTTATTGGTGTGCTAGCCCGGGGACTGAAAATTTTTCTAGAACTCCCTGATATATGGAGTACTTAATACTTTTTGACGCAATCTAATTGAGTTCAAACATGAGTATCCATTAAACTATGTTAATTGATGAATTTTCTGAAAATGGTGGTTTAATTGACAGTCGCACCAACCACAACGAATATTCGAAGAAAATGCTATGCGGCATGCAAATTATCCACTACGCTACACTAAAAGACTGATGCAATAAAAAATATATATGTTTTAATTTTTTAGTTTAAAGACATTGTTATTATTGAACTACCTATTTTTGCTTTCAGGGTGTTATGTAGCAATTACGTTAATGTTAGTATAGTATGACTACAAACAAGCAATCTTAATCATTTTGGGATGATAGATGACAAAATGAGAAGTAATGGCAAAATTTAAAATTCAATTGAAGTTTAGTGGCTCAATCAAAAGTGCACTGGAAGTTTAGTGACTGTAGATGAAATTTACCCTTTTAAGCAACCAAGCCCGTTTGATTTTCATTTTTATAAGAGTGAGAATGAAAAATATAGTCCCCGTTTGTTTCTAATAATTCATTAAAATGAAAAATATGATCGTTATTCATCACATCAAGTCATCATATTTGACTTTTTATTTCTTGTGTAGGGCTCGTAACGATTATATTTTTCATTCTCATTTTTACATTAATGTGTATCAAATGGGGCAAAGTTGTTATGAGATCCACACAAGAGAGAAGAAGTGAAATATGATGACAAATAATGGTCATATTTTTAATTTTTGTGGCCAAAAAATGGGACGGGACCATAACATTTTACTTTTAGCGCTGTTAACCAAGTTGGGCCGATCCGTCGTGAAGCTTATGGCCACCTTTTGACCCCCAAAAAGCTCAAATCACTCCGCTTTCCTCAATTTTGTTCCATTTTGTTCAAGAAGGGACTTGTCAATCTCAACCAACTTTGTTCGCTTGTTCTTCTTTAATCGGAATTTTGGGTAAATAACCCTTGTATAACTAAAAGATGAGCTAAGAAGAACTAGAATTGGTATATTTTTCAATATTAAACTGTTGCTTTGATTTTCTTAACCAGTTTTACCAATTGATCATTCAGGGAATACAGTAATTTTACCACGTCTAAATGCGATGATTGTCAGTTTATTGAAAATGAGGATTCTTTGTGTTTGTAATCCAGGTATGTTATCTTCGTCATTCTGTATATTTTCAGAGAAATCTGTCGTATATTCATAAGCACGCTTCTTAGCCAAATGTGTTTCAACTTTTTTAGAAGTTACTTTGGGTTTTCAGAATTTTGGTCAAATTTTTTCTTCTACTTTCCTTGTAACCAGCATAGTAGGTGAGACGTCATTGATGGTGGTGCAATTAATATCGTACGTTATCAACTTCGACAATATCATCTCGAAACCAATCTAGAACAGTACTGTATTTGAAATCTTGAACAACAGGATTATTAAATGTGATCTTAGGATCACCACATGCAAATCTATGGTGCTACAAAGTGCAGTAGAAACCTTTGGAACAAAGTACAGTAGAAACTTTTGGAATGCATATGAACTTAAAATTTACAAACATACGATCTTCTCACCTCGAACAAACCGATACAGGAGAACTTCATGGCAATCACACAGCAATTGAAACTCGAGAAATTTCCTCGTTCTGTGTCACTAGCGTTATTTTCTTGACAATTCTTTCACTCTGAACCTTGGATTTTATTTTATAAACGAAGAATTTTAATTGTTTTCACCCATTAAGCACATGAAATGAAACAAATAAAGAAACCTACTTATAATTACCCTCTTTTAAAAGTCTATGGTTGAGGAATGAAAGGGGGGAGGGGAGGGAAGTATCCGAATTTAGGATGGTGGAATGGAGGATGCTTGAGGAGTGGAGGGCAGGGTTTCTTGTAGAATGGTGGGAGTGGTTTATAAATTGGAATTGGTGGTGGAAGTGGCTTTACTATTGGAGGGATGTAAATTGGTGGCTTTGGCTTGTAGAGTGGAACTGGTGGTGGAAGTGGCTTTACTATTGGAGGGATGTAAATTGGCGGCTTTGGCTTGTAGAGTGGAACTGGTGGTGGAAGTGGCTTTACCACCGGAGGTTTGTAAATTGGTGGCTTTGGCTTTGGTTTGTAGATTGGAACTGGTGGTGGAAGTGGCTTTACCACCGGAGGTTTGTAAATTGGTGGCTTTGGCTTTGGTTTGTAAATTGTAACTGGTGGTGGAAGTGGCTTTACCATCGGAGGTTTGTAACCTGCTGGCTTTGGCTTGTAGATTGGAACAGTTGGCTTTGGTTTGTAGATTGGAACAGGTGGTGGAAGTGGCTTTACCATCGGAGGTTTGTAAACTGGTGGCTTTGGCTTTGGTTTGTAGATTGGAACAGGTGGTGGAAGTGGCTTTACCACCGGAGGTTTGTAAATTGGTGGCTTTGGCTTTGGTTTGTAGATTGGAATTGGAGGTGGAAGTGGCTTTACTGGAGGCTTCGGCTTGTAAATGGGGACGGGATGAGGAAGTGGCTTCGGCTTGTAAATGGGGACAGGGTGAGGATGTGGCTTTGGCTTGTAAATAGGGACAGGATGAGGATGTGGCTTTGGCTTGTAAATAGGGACAGGATGAGGATGTGGCTTTGGCATGTAAATGGGCACAGGTGGAGGAAGTGGTTTTGTGTAAACTGGTGGGAATGGAGGAAGAGGCCATGGGTGTCCGAAGTTTTTCAATGGTGGAAAGTAAACCTTAGGGAAGTGTTTCTTCCATGGATGAATTTTGGGAGAGGGTGGATACTTAAAGAATGGCCACAAGAATGCAGAAGTGCACAATGCAGTGGAGAATTTGAGATTTCTATTAGGGCTGAATGTGTGTTTTCCATTGGTTATCGACTTTAGGACAACCTTAGAGTCCTCGAGGCCATTGTGAGCTGGACACGGTGCTGCCGATGCGCTATGAAGCTGTGCATAACATTCCTCTTTGAGTTTTCCTTCTTGAACAATCTCCTCAGGAAGTGAAACCTTGAATTTTCCTTCTTTATCAAGCTCTCCAACTCCCACTCTTTTTATTTCTCCATTTTGAAGCTTGCAATCAATGGTTACGCTAAGCCCTGTAAAAAATGATTGCTTATTGGTGAAGTGTAAAGATGAAAAGCTACGTGGTTGTGTTATACAGGATTCCAAAGAGGAATAGCATTTGTGTATGGTGGTCTGCATATAAACACTGTTTTATCAAGAATACACCATGGCTTGTTGGTAAATGGATACGATAGCACTGGACAATATTGTATGATACCATCAATTTTGTCATCTGTATCAATAGATAATCATACAACTAAAAGTACATAAAAAGATTGTATAGTACCTGAAACAGCCTGACTCGTTTTAATGTTATTCTCTTTGCAGTCAGCACATTCTCCCACCCCCACAACTTCTATAGTCTTCTCATCCCCACGGCAGAAGCTTGCTGCGAATAACAAGTACACGAAGAAGCCCAGAATGGCCCCTCGGCAAAGCGGATGAACCCACATTGGGACCTTCTTCTAAGGCCGAGCCTCGAAGACAATAGAGAGGGAGAAGAGAAGAGAAATGGCCCAAGAATTAAGGGCAAGCCCCAGTGTACAGAAGCTTTTTTGGTGAGTGTTTAGTGTCAGAAATGTTTGTTATATATAATAATTTAAGCAAGCGATTTTGTGATGGTCACACCGACAGTGAACTTAATGTCATCACATGAGGTTAGGTTCCATTGATCTTGACTACAAAGCCCATCATTTAGAATGAAAAAAATTAGCTGGAAAATGGGAGTATCAAAGGCCATTATTTTCATTGAATTAATGGGGTTTCAACTGCACAATTGTCTTTTTTCCATCCATAAATCTGCTTGCCAACCCACGTTATGAAATTATTGTCAAACCACTTCGTCTATATGTTTACATGCCATTTCACATGCAAGTCAGATTCATTTTCTCATTAAAGGTGTGAATTGAGCACAATTTCATAAAACTGGTGGTGATGGTTAAAATTGAATATGTTCTAAAGAGTGCGTTGAATCATTTCCTGAAATGAAAATGAATTTATGGAAATCTCATGTTGTTATACTACTTTTTAATTGAGTTCTTCTATCAATCCCACAGTTGGGAAGCAGAAAAGATAAATATCAACTTTCCTTGAAATTTCGTTATTTTCCAAAACTATAGTTCTTTGCCAGTTAATGGTAGTTGGTACCATTAATGTAGAACGCCATATATGTGTATGTGTATATAATTGGTTTATAATTATATTGTACACACACGCTAAAAATTTTTGTTGAAGAAAATAAAATAAAACAAATAAATTTTTTTTTTCTCGTGCCATTATAGATATTTAATTTAAACATGGTGTCGAGATAGAAAAAACTTGACTTTAAATTTAACTACAAAAATTAATTTTTATTCTATTATAAGTTCTATTACTTAATTGAAGTCTGAAGATGTTGAGGCCGTGGCTCTTTGCGAGGTACTTGCCGTGGCCAAAAAACTTGGTTTTACGTGTTGATATTCATAATGTAATTCTCTCCATGTCGTTTGCCCTTGGATTTTCTTTATCCTCCAAAGAGCTCATTTTGTTTGACGTAGTTGCTTTATTGCGATATATCAGCTACTACTTTTGTAATTGTATTCATTGAGATTTTAATAAGGTGACCTATGAGCTTGTGTCGTTTGCTTATTTACATGAAGATTCATATTGTTGTGTCTGATTATATTCTAACTTTTCTTTCTTCTGTTGTTCGCGACGATATGTAATAATGAATTTTCACGAACAAATGAATTTTACTTACAAATTGAAAGTATATATATATACATTTTTTTATGCGCGTATAACTGAGTATTTATGAATGCAATTGATTGGATTGGATTGTTTATTTATCTTGCGTTTGGTTGCACCAAACCAAGTTCATGAATTAATATGTCAACTAGGAATTAGGGTTGAATTAGAAGCACCAAAATTTGCATGTGCATTCACTCGAATTGGGAGGTTGGAAAGTTGAAAAAGATACTCCAACTAATTATGTATGCATTGCTTAAATACTTTACCATAGTGGTGGAAAATTGCATTTACTACTTGCTTTCTTTTATTGGAGTTGGTAATGTGTACGAGGATTTTAGGGTTGATATAACTTTTATACTAATCATCAGTCTACAACAAACTTAATTCTTAGTTCGACCTTTTAAGAGGCTATGGAAAGCAGAGACGAAGTTGTTGAACCTTGTACAACAATGTATTTACTAAGATTTGATAATTATGTTGACAATACGAGTTTTTAGCAAGATAATGACGTTCCAAGATTTCTTTGAAATTGTTGACATTCTAAGTTATCATTAATTTCTAATGATAATCATAATCATTATCTTCTCCAACCATACAAAAACAAATTAAAATTCATATTCTATAAAATAGTGAGTTAAATATGCTAAAAAGCTATGCAAAACTTCGAAAAATTCTAGGGTCATAATAAAATAAACGACTTTGTAATCATGAATTATTTTTGTATATATGTTTTTAAAAAAAGAATGTGTATATATGACGTTTAGGTTTAAATACTGCAACATCTTTTGCAAGGAGACGTTCCTTCTCCCGAAGTTATGGGATTAATTTGTCGAGGTCTTTGGTTCAACACGTCATTTTTTGTATTTTCAAATATTGGGTGGAGCCATTCTTTTTGGCAAAAAAAAATGTGGATAATATTTCTCCATCCAACTACATTCCTTAAGGACTTCAAAAAATATTTTTAAGATTTGGTTTTTGGTTGTAAATTGCCATTATATTGAAGGGACCAACATATGTATGAATATCACATTATTGATGTGATTTATAGCCTCTTAAAAGCCTCATGTGCCTCAACTCGATCCAAAAATAATTGTGTATATATATTCATATACACAAGTATGATGGCAAAAAAATATTAATGTAAATATATACTCATTTCACAAGTTTCTTTATTGTGTTATCAAATTAATAACTAAAATACTCAAATTCTATTGCACATTTTAGTATAATAACAAAATAACGCGATTGGACTTAAACTTAAAAAAAAAAAAAAATTCAATTAAAAAATTATTTTTAAACAAGGAGAGGCCTTCATATTTGAATTTAATTGCAATAAATAAACACGAAGGATAAAGCAAGACATGTTGAGCTGGAGAGTGTGGAAGGTCCGATTTAAAGGATTAATATTATTTTAAAAGTTAAATATAGCTATAAATGATGCGCTGTTGCCAGATACAGATAGCAAAGTAATTTATCGTTGCAATGAATGAATTTAATTTAATTTTGTTGCCCATGCCAATTGAATTTCAATTATTTTTCCAGACTGGGCGATGTCGAGGATGTGAAATATTTCAATGTGACGATCCTCTATGTACTCATAATAAGATCACTTATTCAAATCAAAACACTTCAAGTCGAATCAATCGAATCACAACACTTCCAATGTCAAGAGGATAAGAGAGTAATAGGCTAAGTGAACGGACATAAGACCATCTCAACATTCAATGTATCATGATTTGAATGATTCAGATTTTAGCATATCCTAATTTAAATATATGATCATATCACATGTACATAACTGATGACTTTGTTTTACTCACGAATTTTGCACAATTTTAACTTGATTATTTGTTAGATCTTGTGAGTATAGAACATTTTTGATGTGTTAGTTTTGTTTTGAAGATTAGGAAATGTGATGCAAAAAGAGGTACTAAAGCGAACGAAGAGGCCAAAAATAAAGAAATTGAAGTAGAAAGACAACGCCTAAGCGCTGCATTCGTTGCGTCCAGGCGCTACGAGGTAAAAAAACAAAGAATTTAACTCGAGAGGCAGCGCCTAGGTGCTACATTTATAGCGCCCAAGCACTGTCATCAGAGCTTAGGCGCTACATGTAATTTTGTCACTGTGCTGACTCCTAGTGCTTAGGCTTGCCCCGAGATTGTCTAGGGCGGGTTTTTGGCCCATTTTGAAACCCATAAAAATCCTACTTTTTATACAAACGGAGGGGCACATATAAATACAAATTTCTCACACTTTTGAAGGGAGATTCTACACATTGAGAGGCAAGAAACACATCTTGAAATTAAAGAGAGCAAATTCAAGAGGAGAAAAACAACAATTCAAGGGTTTAAAACCAAAATTTGGAACAAGAAGAAGAACTTGGTGCAAAATTTATCCACTCCTCCACATCTAAATTCAAAACCCGGTGATGAACTCCACTATTTTTATTTATTTTTTTTCTCTATTATGAATAGCTAAATCTATTGTTGGGGCGAATAATATAACCTACTTGGGACCCTTTACATAATTTATTTAAGATTCTTGTTCTTTATTCTTTCAAGTGTTGATTTTGCTATGAAGTGAATGCATTAAATTACTTGATCAATAATTTGATGATTTCGTGAATCTTTTATGAATAGAGATATGAGTTTAGGACTTAGACTATATAGCAAAATTCGGTAAATTGGTATAACGAGTAGAAATACCTATTGTTCACCTCAAAAAATGTAGCCAACAGATGCTGGACCCACCCGCGCACACGTGAGCGAAAGTCCAATACACTAAGACACGTGGACGGTCTAAAACGGAAAGATCAAAGGCGTGGGAGTAGCTCAACGCGCATGGGGACAAGAGCATTCGAAATTCGACGGGATTGTTCGTGGACCGATTGTACAATAATTACCAATCGGTGTTTGTGAATATGTATGTAAATATGCTTAAATTCGTATTGTGTTGCAAGATAATGAAAAAGAGAGAGTAAAATGTGGTTTCTTGTATTGATTCTTGCATTAGCCTTTCTATGGGGTACATGTGGGAGTATTTATAGTGGTACATGTGGAATGGTAGCCCTTGGATGAGGTGGCACGTGACCTCATCTCTTTAGCTTAAACGTCTAATCATAGGCATCATCCTTGACTAGCTAGTTTGCTACGCATTTATTGCCTATGCAGACTCCCATACTAGTGATAAGACTTAATATTTATATTTATGACAAACGTCCTATCAATCATTCAAGTAAGATCTTTATGTAGAAGATCTTTTAGGAGAAGTGATCATGGAAGATATTCCTTTATGGTTCAGAGGCTTCTGCTTCGGCTTCAGGGCTTCGGCTACTTTCACATGGCCTCGGTATATGGGCCTCGAAAGCTTCAGAAGAGGCTAATATATATGGGCCTCGACATATATTGGCATAGGCATCTGTCGACCTCGGTTGGAGGACCTCGTCTATGCAAATCACCTCGGCTTTAGTGCACGTGGTTCAGCATGAGTTGGCTGTGGGCTCCGATGGGTTGCCTAAGTGTGCAAACACGTAACACCTATACCAACTATTGCGGTCATAATTGAATTCCTAGGACAAAGAACTCGTTTAACTAAATTAGATTCGTATAGAGATATGGAATTTAATCAGTTAAATAGGCTCAATAAAAACTCGAGAAGGGTAAGTTGAGTACAATAGAAGAATTCAACCGAACACTGCATGAGATGTGAATTTTAATTTAAGATATAAAGGTGTTCAATAGGAAAAATTATTCTGCCCTAACGTACGTTCATTATTTAGTCTCTAAATCACACTTTGCGTGCATCCACACATATTTTCAAATAGTTTTATCAAAAATCACAACATCTAATTC